AGACAGAGGTGCATCCAAACCTGAAGAAGAATTTGGAACAGCATGAGGAACCTTTATGGTTATTTATTTGAAGGTGAACTCCTTGTCACTGTGACTCAGCACACAACCAAATGTGACCTCTGCTTTTAACCCATCACCAAAGTGAACAGTGAGCAGCTTTAAACATCCAGGGAGCAGCGTGTGGGGACAGTGCCATGCTCAGAGCACCTCAGCTGCAACTTGACAGCTGGTGGACTTGAACCTTAAGCCTTCTGGACCCCAGTCCGCTTCTTTAAGCACTAAGCCACCAATACCACACCGAGTACCCATCGGTTATGTTGCGTTATGTTTGACTTTTTCTGATTATTCTTGGGTGCCATAAACACCCCAGCGTTAGCTGACTGTAGTGCTGGTGAAGTTCTGCTCCGAGTGGTTTGACGTGCGCTGTCCAAAGCGCACATTGCTGATACTAGGTAAGATAATAAACCGCTTTATTAATCAAATAACAGCTGCCTCTGTCTCGTTCTACCGCTCCACCACGACATAACTGTGTGAAACAGACAGTCGTTCACTGGGCTCACGGGAACAGTTAGAGTCAATCCACTCTACACTGTCAAATACGGCAGTGACGTATCTTTAATTTTGTGGTGTTTGTTTAAAACACGCTGTTGATTTCCAAAGGTGGAAAGTAACAAATTACATTTACTCAGTCTTTGTTTTCAAAAACGAGGCAATAACTTTATCATGCCACGCAAAACATGGCTGTCCCGGCGGACGGAGCTGTCGCTGTCGGAAGTTCAACATCAAACCGGCGAAAGCATGTTGGCGCCAAGTAGAGTTTCTGCTTCTGTCACGTTCGGACATCGTAGGAAGCTGATTGGACCCAAATGCAGCACCAGGGAGACTCTCTCCAGGTGCAGCGGGTGGTTTATTCACAGTGTAAGAACAACGCACAAGAATGAAGCACTGTTTTCAAGCAGGTACTTTGGAAAACAGTGTGGAAAAGCGACAACAAAGTCTCTCGGGCATAAAATATCGAACACAGACACACTCTTCTCCAAACATCGTGACTCTCTCCAAAAACAGACTACTGAATACTTACGACAACTACAACGCAAACTCGAACAACAATCCCACAAAGACAGAGTGAGGAAGGGAGGTGTATATACCCAGGGCACCAGGTGACACGAGTGAGACTAATGACGAATACAACAGTTGAGTTTGATGACACTGACTGCACCGCAAACAGACAGCAGGACCAGGGAACAAACAGATGTCACGGCTCCTCTGTTCATGCGTTAAAACAATAACAGGATATAATGATGGTGTTAAATATGGAGGGAGGCACCTCATGTTGTAGCCAGGTAGTTAAACAGCACCCAACATTCTAAGTTGTCATAACGTAGTTCTGTTTGAATTGCAGATTAAAATCAACTAGTTGCAGATTGGATGTATAACTAGTCTTCTTTTTTTGCATAAAGTAATTTAAAGTAACTATGTAATATTTACGCAAAGTAAAATTAAAATTTTTCTTTAACTTTTACTTGAGCAGATTTTCAGATAGCTTCTTTTACTTGAGTAGAATTTAAGCAAAGTAAAGATACTTTTACTTCAGTACATTCTTTTTTTAAGCAGAGAAAGAGCTTTGACACCCGAGTCAGTCATCACAAGATATTTACAACTGTTTCCATGCTGAGAAAAATAACAGAAACAGATGAACTTTTTGGAGCTTTTTATCTAATTAAAAACTGCTCTCTGGATCTCTGTTGCTATGAGATCGAAGTCTCTCTGAGACCTGAACTTATCTGACTCCCGACACCACTGTATTGATTCAGACGTGACACAATGAAATTTAAAAATCATTAAGTCCACGTTTGGCTCAGAGGTCAGGAGGATGTGGTAAATAAGGACTACAACTGAACGTTTGCCATATGTATGTAAGAATCATGTATGTTTGAGACGTTATAATTAAAAAAATGTCAATAATTAGTCAATACGTCTGCTTCCTTAACCACCAAGCCACCACTGCCCAAATGATCCAGAGGTACAGCGGGGAATATACGTACTTGATAAACTGCTGATTTAGCATACCATTGTATGATTTTGAAATCATTTATTTTTATTTTATAGCATGAAACAAGTATATATCAGAGTATCAAATACTTATTTTCCCACTGTAGGTAGTTTGAGACTCCTGAGCTAAAACACTGCCTCAGACTGGCATTTTGCATGTTTACCAAAGTTACAGTACTGTAAATAAAACCTGACTGTGGCTGTAAAAAGTATAATACAAAAAGACTTAAGGGTTGCCAGAGCTAAAATTTAGATTCTTCCTTATTGCTAAAACCTGCGCTACAAATGGGTGAAGTAGAAACAGGAAATGTTGGAAAGATTTTAAGATTCCTGATGCTTATTGTCATATACATTGTTACAATGCAGCCACTCAAACAATGTAATGAAAATCTTATTTTGTTTTTCCCTTTAACAACCAACACATACACACAATGAATGATGTCAGATCTTTGAGGCATACTGGGACGCTCAGTCTGGAGTCTCCTCCTTCAGCTCTGTCCCTCTGAGCTCAGCAGTCCCGCTCTCCTTAAAACCTTGTCCACATTGGGGATCAGTTTTTCGTGAAAGTCCCACAGACGTTTGTCCACATTGAGCTGCTCCAATGTTAACTCCCTCCGCAGAGCAACACGGGTGTGGATGAGTCGGCACACGTCATGTGGGACTTTATACACTTGTCCAAATGTCTTGAGCACCGAGTGAACTGAAGTCTGCTCCACCATCCTGAGGAACAAAGAATAACAAACATGTATAGCAAGGTTAGAGCAAGGATAGCTTCAATTAAAAATACACCAGGCATCTGAAAGCTGAAAAAAAAAAACAACCAGTTTGTAGTTGGCGATTAAGTTTAGTCAGAAAGTAAGCTAAGAAACAGCTTAAAGTTGACCAGATGTTATTTTCAGCCTTTTGACTTTTAAAGTTAGCATTCATTCAAACTAAGTGTTGAAGCCATTCGTTCACCTTGGTTGAACTATTATCTTGTAAGGATGGTATATGTTCATGTCAGGCGTCTCTCTGTAGATGTGCTCCAGGATGTTCACTCCTGGGACATCCTTCCATTGTGACAGGTGGAACCTCCCTCCTGGTTCAAAGTATATCTTTGGGAAGATGTGGTTCTCAATGAGGAACACCCCTGTCTGCAGAACATTAACAACATCCTAAAAACATAGACCTGTGGTTGGAGTTTTCATGCAGTTCAAGAAAAAGAAACCTACATTGGGATTGTGCTGTTGGAGCACGCTCATCAGATCTGCCAAGTTGTCGTGTTGGTACGGCATCACTATTTCATCAATGTCATTAAGGGTAACGTAATGTGAACGTGCCATCGATCTGTAGATGCAGTCGTTGAGTGTGGCCAGTTGCCCATAGTAATGCAGGTCCCCTCCATGGATAGAGAATGACCAACCCTTAGATGGAATCAAATATTTGTCAATGGGCCAAGGAACTATCTCCAAGAAACCCTCCTGGCTGTAGGTTTGCAGTAGAAGGTCCAGCTCTGGGCCACAGCTTGTGTTGTAGATCACCACTCGACCCACACCCAACAACCTGAAGGAAAAATGAAGCAACATTAAAGATTTCCCCAAACCATTTTTAAAAATAATGTTTTAACATCCTGCATCTGAAGATCTGAGGATGTAATCCAGTAAAAAAAGAAGAAAGAACTAGTACCATTCAAAAAGGTGTGCACCAGGTTAGGGTGATAAAGCACATAGATGGAAGATAGTGGATTAACTGAAATGCCTTTCCATACATTTCCATCCATCCATCTGTTTTCATCCGCTTATCCGTTACCGGGTCGCGGGGGCAGCAGTCTCCACGACGGCCACCCAAATCACACTGCACTGTACCAACCCCCGCTGAACCTTCCTGCGGGTGGTCAGTCCACTGGAAGGTACCAACGGCCCTAACCAGGATTTGATCTTGCCCAGGAGGTGAACCCTGGGGTTCCACACCAATGACAGAGACATTGTCTCTGGGCCAAAGTACCTGCCTCATACATTTCTCAATTTCAATTAATATTGACACCAGACCTTTTGTATTTTTTAACCCTCCTTATCCTTTCGGTATAGGTGACTTAGTGGCTGATAATATGCCACTAGTATATTCGCTCAAAATAACGAATGTCATGCACAACAACAAATTATACTCTAACTATACACTAAGGACAATGGGAGGGTTAAGCAAGATTTGATCTTGCACATCCCTCCTGAAATGTTGTTAAAGAAAAACATAGTTGGTGCAAAATAACATTTTGTTTTCACAAATGTAATATGTAAATGGCTGAATCAGACCATGTGACCCCAGATTTATCCACACCATTGTATTACTGAAGTACAGCAAAGATGAGTATTTATGGTCTCTGACCTCCCTTGAAGGTCATTCTCAAGTATGTCGTTGTTGCTGCACTGACCTGTACATCTCCAGCGACTGAGCGACCTGAAGCACGTTGTTGTACTCTCCAAACAGATTGGAGATGCAGACTGTGAAGTTGAACTGCAGCTTTTCTTTCTCATTCACTGCGGTTCTTCTTATGGGCAACCAAAGCTGCTCAGTCGAAATATTTTTGTTGGGTTCAGTCAAAAGGCTAACGTGTGTGGCACGATGGCAGGTCAAAGGAATCTGACACATGACATCTGTGGTACCATAGGGAAACCCAAAGTGATCCGAGTGGGGCAAAATGTTTGCAGGAGTCGTAGTTGAGATGTCACCAGAACAGCAGAATATACAGTGGAGAGGATGGACGGAGTCTCTCTTGAATATGCTGATAATGCGTACATCAAAGCCCTTCACTCTTTGGTCCATGTAGGCTGATACAAGTAGGTGCTGGGTGTCTTGAAGGGGGGTGATGGGCTGTTCTGAGACCTGGACGTGACAGGCTTTTAGGGAAAAACTTGGGTTTGGGATCTCCCTGACCATCCTTGGTGATGTAATGATGAAGATGATGAAGAAGAGGAAGGTGACAGTGAAGAGCAGGAGGAGTTTCCCCCTTAGGTCTTTTGTGTGGGTCATTCAGCCTGAGACAGAGGTGCATCCAAACCTGAAGAAGAATTTGGAACAGCATGAGGAACCTTTATGGTTATTTATGGATTAATTCAATCATTCTTTTTTTTCTCGTCAGGAGCTGGAGCCAATCCCAGCAGTCATCATGAGAGGCAGGTTAACTCTATGGACAGTTCCACAGTCCATTACAGAGGCAAACATATTTTTTAAAATACAAAAATCATGAAATAATGACTTACGAGTGAACAAACAAATTATTCATTATAATTATGAATCGTGCTGAGTGCAAATGTGCAGTTTTAGGCAGTTACTGTACTTGGTATAGTATCGATAACACAGAGGAAGGAGG